ATTTTGGACATATTTATAGTTTTTTATGTGCACTGTATCTTCTGTGGGTTACAATCTGAGATGCTTTTTAAATTTTATTCACAGAGTTGGAGAATAAAAAGCATGAGTGTTTAAAAAAAAAACACAACACAGGTCACCCAAGAAGTCTGTAAACACCAACCATTTCACCATGAGCAAGTGCTAAAGGTGGAAGGAACCATTTCAAGAGACTAAATGTATGTGTTAAACTGTTGCAGAAAGTGCATTTGTTGCCTTAATCTTTCTGCCAGTATTAAAATATGTTCCAGGTATTTTATTGTGCTTACTGATTATTTTCTTCAGCCTTACACTTATCATTATTGCTCAGATTACAATTGATCTTAATTCACTTTTTAAAACTACAGTTTCTATGGAATACATATGCTAGCAAAGCATCTGGTACCTACACTTGGGATATTAGTAGATGCTAAATAAGAAAGAACATCATGGTCAAATAAGTAAATTAGACAATGTAAAACAAATTCTTTTCTGCAGGATTTCTCAGGGCCTTTGATAAGAAAATGTGAATTGCAAACATCAATTCACATTGATGGACTGATATATAATAATGTAGCATCGTCCAAATCTAGTAGGCCACAGATCCTTCACTATTTGATTTTTCATAGAAAGCATATTCTAAAGTAATGAGTGGCAGACAGTATATAAAAAAAGGATCAATAAAAAAAAGTTTTAAAAATGCATTTTTCTGCAATATAAAAGTCAATTTTTTAGTTGGGGAAAATAAGGCATAAATACAATAGACTTCATATAATGGTGTGAAGAAACAACATAGAAAATATTCTGAAGTGATATATCATCAATTGTCAAATGAATTATGCTAATTTTTTTAGTAGAGAGGTGGGATGAACAAACAGAACACAATTTTCCATATGCCCATGTGCAAGGGACCAGAGGTACAAAACACATAACATATGGTTGCTATGTTAGAGAAGTGAAAACCTCAATGGAGAGCCAGGACTCTGTGAAGCAAGATAGTGTGATCCAAAAATAGGCCAAAGCATCTTAACCTTTGCATTAGCAGGTGATCAGCACTGAGTCAGTAGATTTGGGGCGAGATGCTGCATCCTTTTTTTTTTTTTTTTTTTTTTTTTTTTTTTTTTTGCAGGGTATTTATTTCATGGATATTTATTTATTACTCAGGGAAACGATGGTTTATTTATTGTATCAGGACCCGCTGGCTGTCCTCAGCTAGGCTGCCATTCTGGGTGCCTAATAAAGCACTCTCACCCTCTCTCTGCCTCCGATTCTTTTCAGAGAAGGGGTGTCTGATACCCAAAGAGGGCACAGAGTGGGCTCGGCAGCCTCATGATGCTGCATCTTTAACAAGCTCCTAAACAATGCTGATGCTGCTGGTCCAAAGCTCACACTTTGAGGAGCAAGAAGTTAGGGCAGAAGTTGGCCAACTTTTTCTATGAAGCCCACATAGTAAATATGTTAGGATTTGTGAGCCATACAGTCTTTTGCAACTACTCAATGTTGTCATCCTAAAGCAAAAGCAGCCATAGACAGTAGGTAAGTGAATGAGCATGGTCGTGTTCCAAAAAATTTATAGATCACGAAATTTGAACTTTATATAATCCTTTAAAAATATTATACTTTCAAAAATTTTTTCCATTAAAAAATATAAAACCATTTCTCAGCTCATGGGAAATAGAGAAAAAGCAGTGGGCCTGCAGCAGGCTGCACATTTGCTGAACTGTGAGTTAGAGGTCAAGATAGACGCTCCCGTGGAGAATCCATGGAGGTTTCCCTATGAAGCACATCTAACCAAAGCAACTAATCTTTTATTTTAATATATATTGTTATTGATTTCAGAGAGAAGGGAGAGAGAGAAACATCAATGATGAGAAAGAGTCATCAATCCTCTGCCTCCTGCATGGCCCTCTGCCCCCCCGCCACCCCCCCCCCACACACACACACACGCACACTGGGGATTGAGCCCAAACCCAGGCATGTGCTATGTCTGAGAATCAAACCATGATTTCCTGGTTTATAGGTCGATGCTCAACCACTGAGCCATGCTGGCTGGGCAAATCTTTCTCTTTTTTAAACCTTTATTAGATTGTGTTCATGTTTCTTTTTTTCTCTAATAGTTGGTTTATGGATTTTATATGAAAGATTAAAAAAAAAATTCTAATTGGCAGTAAAGACAGACAGACAAACACCTTAACCAATTTACCTGTAGTATGTAATGCAATGCCTGTAGTATGTAATGCAATGCCTTCCACATAGAAGATGCCAAGCAAGCAGGTGTTTGATTCCATTTAATCTGTCAAAGGAGCCTTTCACGTGGCTGGGTCAGGGACAATAAATCCATGCAAATGTTTGACAGAAACAGTGGATTAGTATAAGGAAGTGATAGAAAATAAAATCGGGGCCAAGTAATATGGAATGCCTCAGCACAGATCTGAAGTTTAGGGGATGATGTATGTAGGGAACAGTTTCAAGAACTTTAATCTGCTGCAGGATATAGAAAAGATCCATAACTTACTGGAGATGAAGAGATCAATGAAAAGATTTAAGATTAATTAAAATGTAAGCCATAGTTCTCATGGGTGAAGACCTGGACTATGACCCTGGAAGGAGAACAGAGAAGAAGGAACTGAATGATGGCTCCAGGCTGGAATGCTCTCCAAGACTTTAGAAAACAAAGGAAACCACAAAATACCCCAGAAGCAAGAAATACTGCTCTTCTCAATTGCCTCCAAATAACCTGCATGCATTGTATAGGCTGCTCCATTGACTGGGTTTTAGTGTGCGTGCCTGTGTGTGTGTGTGTGTGTATGTGTGTGTGTGTGTGTGTGTTTAAAGTATCTTAATTCCCCAAATCATATATGTTTTGTGAGTATCCCATATTTATTTTTAATATAGTTTCTGGAGATAATACCGGAGTATTGACAATCTGGAGTGTTAGCAAACAGATTTGCTTTAACATTTTCAGATTAAAAATAGTCACATACCTATTTTATGCTATATAAATACAAAAAAAAAAAAAAAAAAAAAAAAAAAAAAGCCTTCCATGCCATATTTTTACAAAAAGGGTACCAAAGCCAAAGAATTTTCTAGAAGATTAGGCTCAGAGGAAATCTCCAAGTGCTAATTAAGAGCTCAATGGACAATACAGTCCCAGCAACTTCAATCCTTTCCATTGTAAGTGGCACATTCCTACATATTTTTAAAAAAATAAATCACATTTGGAGGGAGGTTGGGGGGTGGGGGGTTGGGGCAGCTTCATAGTTTTTATAAAACTCCTGCGGAGAGTTTGAGGTGCTGGGGGAATAAAGGAAAAAGTGTGAGAGAGAGCTTGTGTTAAAATAGTCTGGCAGCTTGCAGCCTCCCACATCAAGGTCCTCGTTGTTTGGGGATGGAAAAGTGCTGACCAGCAAAAATGAATTACAACTCCATTTCTCTAGTTGTGGAAGCCAAGGGGTCTGCTAGAGACGTTTGTAAATATCAGAAATGTGGAAGACATTAACTCTGTTATTGCTCAGTTGATCAGAAGTCTTAGGGTCAATGAAAATATTGCTGCCTGTTATATTTTTAACGCGATGATTAGTTTCCCTTGGTACAATAGATATTTTGAGCATAACGTTTGTATTACTTTCGTATTTTCTTTAGATAAGAATAGATAAAATTGGAATAAATCTAAAAATCATTTATTTAAAACATTCTATAAGACACTCTGAATTTCTGTTCCTTTTCTTCTGCACTGGAATGGTCTCACAAAGTGGACAATGTCGCTTATTTCCAGGTTGACAAAACATACAGAATGCTTTACAAACAAAACCTGTGGGAGTTGTCTAGTCATTCATCTCATGGTCTAGAATGTAGAGTTCCCATCAGTAACATGGACACATCTCTTTCTTTTTTTTAAAATTTAAGTTCTTTATTGTTTGTGTATAACCCACATCCCGCATGGTTCAGGGTTCGGGCACTGGAAAAGGGGCCATGCGCAAATGAAAGTGATGAGACAAGAAATAATAATTTGGAAATTTGGGGGCCAGGCAGGAGCCCAACGCAAGAGGGAGGACTCCACTTGTGCTCAGGCTTTGCCAACCTTTTATTCAGTTTGGGATTGCCTATAGCCCTTAGGCAGGCAATTCCCAGTAACAGACAGACTATCTTATCAGTAAGGATTTACATAACTATTTGGTCAGGAAGTTGCTTCAGCTACCTTATTGTCTTAACTAAACAGTGGGTGCATAGCTCTGACCTTTGCTAGGGCTGAAGGATCACCAGAGTTCTGGGATCCTTGCCCTGTCACACCTCTCTGCTAGTGAAGACAGTAGGTGGCTTCCCACAGTTGTTTAAAGTATTGCCTGAGTCTTCTTTTTCCCCCATTGACCTCTCCCTGGCTGCCCTCATCCCCTGGTGTGTCCATTTGTTATGCTCATATGCATGCATACAAGTCCTTTGGTTGATCTCTTTCCCCTTTACCTCCTGCCTTCCCTCATAGGCTGGACAGTCTGTTAGGTGCTTCTGTGTCTCTGGTTGTATTTTTGTTCATCAGTTTGTGTTCATTATATTCCACAAATGAGTGAGATCAGGTGATATGTATCTTTCTCCGACTGGCTGATTTCACTTAGCGTAATGCTCTCAGGTTCCATCCTTGCTGTTGCAAATGGTAAGAATCCCTTCTTTTTTTTTGTAGCAGCGCAGTATTCCATTGTGTAGATGTACCACAGTTTCTAACCCACTCATCTGCTGATGGGCACTCAGGCTGTTTCCAAATCCTAGCTATTGTAAATTGTGCTGCTATGAACATAGGAGTGCATATATCCTTTCTGATTAGCATTTCTGTTTTCTTGGGATATGTTCCTAGAAGTGGGAACACTGGGTCTTTTTTGATCAAACAAGCATCTGATTATAGAGCATCCAGCCTTCCATGTCTGCTGTATTATTTTAACCGCCACCATTTCCTTTCTTTCTCTCCTCTCCGTTGGCCTCTGTTTGGCATGCAGATGGTTCTGTGAGGGGAAGGAGCTGCACAACACTCCTGACATCCAGATCCGCTGTGAGGGCGGGGACCTGCACACCCTGGTCATCGCAGAAGCCTTTGAGGAAGACACTGGTCGCTACACCTGTCTGGCCACGAACCCCAGCGGCTCAGACACAACATCCGCCGAGGTGTTCATTGAAGGTGAGGAGGTGTGCTGCAGCAGTCAAGGTGTGAATGGTCTAACACCATGGTCGGCAAACGAGCTCGCGAGCCACATGTGGCTCTTTGGCCCCTTGAGTGTGGCTCTTCCACAAGATACCATGGCCTGGGTGAGCCTATTTTAAAGAAGTGGCATTAGAAGAAGTTTAAGTTTAAAAAATGTGGCTTTGAAAAGAAATTTCGATCGTTGAACTGTTGATATTTGGCCCTGTTGACTAATGAGTTTGCCGACCACTGGAAGAGCTTCACATCACAGGGCTTCACTGTGAATATGCTTTTCCAATGCAGACAGCACAGTGGTGGTGTGATACAGAACTCATTTCTCCCGAAAACTGTGAGAGTAAATCAAACAGTTCCAACACTTAGGCATGCAGCAACCGGGTCTACTGTCAACATGTGTTCCTTTTCAATGGAAACATTTCAGCTACATTAATTGATTTAAAATGTAAAGTACCCAATTCACTTTTGCTTTCTCTAGGGAAAAAAGAATGGAAACATATTGAAATACGGTATCTACCAACCAAAGTTAAACTCTAAATTATTTAGGAAATCATGAGAATAAGAGAATATTTTAAAGTATTCTCATTTGTATTAAATTCTAGAATTTTCCCTCTTTTAAGACTCTGCTATTCCTACTAACTAAGACATAATGGGCAGGCAGGAAATAGAATATTTTTACTTCTATCAGTTCGCTTTGGACAAGACAGCCTGTAGAGAATTAAAAAAACTTGATATCAGAGTATATAGCTTTACATTATCATTGCATTGTGATCAATGCCAATAATTTAAGTTGGAAGTGTTTTAAGCACCACAGTGCTGTATCATCTCTAAATCCATAAATCAATATGCATCTTATTAATTGGCTGCTTTTCAAAATACTAATGAAAATACAGAAAGTTAAAATTCCTGAGGTCTCCACCACGTTAATCTTCATCTTTTAACTCCTTTCAATGTTTAATGCAGCCACATTTCTTCATTACTTAAAGTAGAAGAAGGCAGGATGTGAGCTCCTTCAAGAACTGACAGTTTGGTTTTAGAAGTAGCTGTTACCGCTCACAAAAGTGCGCACCTTGACTTCTGCTAAAAGCTTCCTTTGCGTTATCTTTGAAAGCAAACATCTGTGAGCTCCTCTGAGGACCTTTCCCTGTTCATAAAAGCAAACTTTCTGTTTCTAGTAGTAACTAATGCTTACATGGGACTTACAAATGCACGCATAATACACATACGTAACCACTTAAACGTCACTGAAAGCCTAGGAGGTACTATTAGTAGTCCCTTTTTACAAATGAGTAAACTGAGATCCAGAGAGGTTAGAGGGACTCATTCGAAGTTTCACAAGCATGTAAACCCAGGCAGTCTCTCCCCAGAGCCCATATTCTTAACCACTGCGCCATACACACATCCAAGTGCTGAAGTAAGAGGAAAAGAATGACAAAGGTTTTTTTTTAACATTTAATAGGTTAAAAATAAATATTAGTCTTGGGCAGACTGTGTAGCAGACTCCTTGAACTATTTTAGAACTAAAAACCTGTTTGTTAAGGATGATCAGGTTCGTCACCCAAATCCAAGTTCAGATAGAGCACCTTAAAATTAAACACTTTGCTTGCTTTCAGCACTGGTAGGACTGGGGTGAATTTTAGTGTGTGTTGCTTCTATGTTTCAGATGTTCATGAATTCACATCAGTTTAAGTCATAGCCTATAGACTCAATTCAGCCTGTACTTTTTAAGGCCCTGCTGTGTGCGAGACAGAGCAGGTACAAATATGATTAAGACACAGTTCTTGATATCTAACAGCAGAGATGGACATATTTAAAAAACAATATAAAATGATAAATGATCTTATAATAAGTGATATAATAATAGAAATATATGAAGTATTATATGGTTACAAATGAGTTTTAAAAATTAACTGCAGTATCTATAAGATACACTCACTTTCTATATGAAAAAAGAAAAATGTCTCTATCTGTGAAACTGGTTTCAGTATCTAACTCTGGTAGACACAAAACATCCACATCATGAACTTTAATTAAATGTGGTCTTCTAAACTACCAGTCCTCTTCTACTTTTGAAATCACCTGCAAGAGCAACTCAGTGTTGGGAAATGCACCCCTAGTTCTATATGCATGTATGTTTCATGTCCTGGACTTGAGCAAAGACAGTGGATTATTTTTGCCAAAGCACAGTTTCCCACATGGTAACACTGAACTCACTTAGCCAACCTGCCATTAGGTGTCTGACTTCAGATAGACTGTGTGAGAGGAGGAGGATACAGAAGCTGGACAGAGTTAGAATAAAGAGCTATTAAGATTCAGTCTCCTATGCCTAATATAAAAAACTAGCTCACTGGCCTTATAAAATATGGATAATAATTTTAAAAAATACCTGGGAGATTTCAGTATACTTTTATCCCTGAGAACAAGAACTTTAGATAAATCCTTAGGCTATTATGGCTGAAAGTAAGAAATCTTCCTATGTTACTTAGCCAGCACTAAATTAGATGCAGCCATCTCTCCATTGAATTGTTTCCTAAAGCACGTTATTAATAGGCCAGCATGTGGTCACCAAGGGCCTATCAGAGTGTAAGAAGTTTTCTGTAGAATTCAGAAATCCAAACAAAGCCTTCCCTAAAAGTTTAACAACCTGCTGGTTGGAAAAGGTCTAAATTTCACTGTCTTATGGGGCAGGTTTTAGAGCGACACAAAAGAAATTATAGCTTAAGGACTAGCTACTGTTTATTTCATGTTAGTTAGGAACCAGCACTTCATTTTTATATGAAAAATTACCTCCATTTTATAGAGGCTTATAGAGGCTAAGTAGTGTCAAGATTGCATACAACACATACATGCACATGCGTGCACATATACATACATGTGCACAGGTGCTCACCCCCCCACACACACAGATAGCATTCCAGAATTGATAGCCAGGCAGTCTGACCCTTGAATCTGCATTCTTCACCACTCCAGAATAAAATGTAGATGAACTCATTATTGTGGCAGCTGTAATCACCTCAAGCTATTCAGGGCATGTGTGGAGCACTGCATGGAGAGTTTACTGAGGAATTACCGTTGGCAGGCGGTGATGTAGACACTGCGGGCATGCAGGCGCATGGGATAGGCCTGTGCTCTGACTTCCCTGACGCTCCAGGAGAGGAGGGAGAATAGAGCAGTGCACTCATCAGTCATCCCAACACCAGCCAGTGCTGGGAAGAAAGTATAGGAGGCTGCTGGGGCCCGGGGATCAGGAAGCCCTCTCTGAAGAGATGACATTTGACCTACGACCTGGACCCCAAGAAGAAACCCACAGGAAGACTGGGGGAAAGTGCTCCACACAGCGGGCTCAAACACAAGGCCCCTAGAGGGGAGGACCAGATGAGTCTGAGGAGCAGCAGGAAGTCCGGGGTGGCTGGAGCATCAGAGAGAAGAGACAGCTGGGCAGGTGGGGCAGGGGACAGTTCACATGGGACCTAGGGCCTTGTGGTCACGGTTAGCAGTGTGGCCTTGATTCTCAGTCACATCACAAATCATGGAGGCTTTAAGCTGAAAAGTCACATTGGCTGATTTGTACAGGGTGGGGACAAAAGCAGGCTTACACTTGTGAGAACACAAAAACCGTTTATTCTTGCATTTTTATTAGTTATTGTATCATTGCCATAGGAACAACTGTAAACCTACTTTGGCCACACCCTATATATTTTTTTAAATATATTTTATTGATTTTTTACAAACAGGAAGGGAGATAGAGAGCTAGAAATATCGATGAGGGAGAAACAATAATCAGCTGCCCCCTTTTCACACCCCCTACTGGGGATGTGCCCGCAAACAAGGTACATGCCCTTGACCGGAATTGAACCCGGGACCCTTCAGTCTGCAGGCTGATGCTCTATTCACTGAGCCAAACCGGTTTCAGCACACACACACCCTATATTTTTAAAAATTATTGCTTTAGCTTATAATGGGAGACCCAGTAGAAGCCTGTTGCAGCAGCACAGAGGAGAAAGAGGGACTTCAGGAGGAGATGGTGTAAATGGGGGTGGGGGAGAGTCAGAGCTGGGTTAGGAATTCAGAGTAGGCTCCCAAAGCTGAGCACTCGGCGGACTGGATGAGGGGCTGAGAGGATGAAAGGACCCAGGCGAGCGGCTCCACCGCTTTTGGCTTTACCAAGTGTGTGGGCCGTGCTGCCAACCTCTGAAAGGGGGGGGGGGGGGGAGCTGAGGCTGGGGAGGAGAGGGTTAGGGGACAGGGAAGGGCGTGTGCAGTTTTGAACATGCTAAGTTTGAAATTCCTACTTAGGTAGGCAAGTGGGTGTGTCATGGCACTAATTGGACACATGCCTACAGTCTAGCCCACAGGTCTGAGTAAAACATCTGGGAGCGTCAGGACGTCAATAGTAACGAAGGCTCTGGGATGGGACAAACCTGCCAGGTGGAAAGGGAGTGAGAGAAAGAGAACCAGGTCAGAGCCTGGATAATCCTTCCTGGGTGTGCAAGTTCCCAGAGGGGAGATGCCAGGGAAGGAGAGGAGCCAGGCAGAGTGTGTGCAGGAGGCAGGAGGGGCCGTTGCAGGAAGGAGGGTGAGGCCAGCTCTGTCCATTTCTGCTGAGGTCCACTCAGATGAGGGCAGGAGGAGACCGCAGGATTTGGCAGTTGTGGATGTCTAACAGGAGGGATTTGGGCAGCCTGGACAGGACCAAGCATCCAATGCAATGAGTTGAGAAAAGCTTGCAAATTATGGAAAGAGAAGCAACAAATAATAGTGTTGAGGACATTTTGTTCAAACACCAGCAGATCTGAAAAGTATGTGATCAAAAAAGATTTTTAATTGAGGTATAATTGACAGATAATAGTTCCAGGTGTACAATATGATTTGTTATCTGTATATATTATGAAGGGATCACCAGCATGATTTAGTTAAAATCCATACATCTGTTACTACACATAGCTATAGTTTTTTTTCTTCTTGTGATTAGGATTTTTAAG